TGAACTGTGTCCCCCCCAAAGTTCGTATGTTGAAACGCTAACCCCCAATGTGATGGTATTTGGAATTGGAGCCTTTGGGAGTTAATTAGGGTTAGATGAGGTCATAAAGATGAGGCCCTTCATGATGGTATTAGTGGCTTTATAAAATGAGGAAGAGAGAGAGAGCACTCTCTCCCATGTGAAGACACAGTGAGAAGGTGACCATCTGTAAGCAAGGAAGTGGCCTCTCACTAGGAACTGAATTGGCCAGTAACTTGATCTTGACTTCCAGGATCCAGAAGTGTGAGAAATAAATGTCTTGTTTAAGCTACCCAGTCTGTGGTATTTTGTTATAGCAGCCTGAGCAGACTAATACAGAGAGTAAAAAAAAAAGAAAGCAAGAGAAGCAAAATAACTTTAATAAAAATTAGATATATAAGAACCTAATTTTATTTGTTGGTGATTAGCTTTGTTGCCATTGTTTTACTTCATCAACTGAGCATAAACTATAGTCTTTCAATAACACTTTCTGACTGCCTAAAATTGAGATTTTTTTGACCTTGACATAGTAGTCTTCAGACTCTGTTCTCCTACATTTTTCTCTTGCTTCCTTTTTTTTTTTTTTAACTATATCTGTCATTCCATTTGATAGCCTTGATTCTTTTGAAATCAGCCAGGTACTCCAACTCATCCTAACTTCTTATTGCATACTTTGTCTGATGATACAATAGCAGTGCATTTGATATTCTTGAGGGGAGCAATATTTTTTTCTTTCAAATTAAGATAGAATTCACCTACCATACAATTCACCCTTTTAAAGTGTACATTTCAGTGGTTTTCAGTATATTCACAGAGTTGTGGAACAACCACCACAATCAATTTTAGAACATTTTATCACCCCAAAAAACAACCCTGTACCCATTAGCAGTCAATTCCTGTTACTTAGAGCCCCTATCCCCCCTCCCTGGGCAACCAGTAATATAATTTCTTTCTCTATATATTCTCCTATTCTGTACTTTCCATATAAATGGAATCATATTATATGTGACTGTCTTCTTTCAGGTAGCATAACATTTTCAATGTACATCCTGTCATAGCATGTCAGTACTTCATTCTATTTTATTGATGAATAATCCATTGTATGGATATACCACATTTCATTTATCCATTCATCAGTTGATGGATATTTGAGTTGTTTCTACTTTTTGGCTATTATAAATAATGCTGCTTTGAACATTTGTATAAAGCTTTATGTGGATTTAGTTTTCATTTCTCTTGGTTATATACCCAGGAGCAGAATCACTGTGTCTGTATTTCACAATTTGAGTGAAACTGCCAAGCTATTTTCCAAAGAGACTTCATGATTTTACATTTCCACCAGCAATGTATTAGGGCTCCAATTTCTCCACATCTTTGTCAACATGTATTAATATCTATCTTTTTTATTGTATATATCCTATCAGGTGTTCAGTTATATCTCATTTTGGATATGATTTGCAGTTCCCTAACGGCTAATGACGTTGGACATCTTATCATGTGCTTATTGGTCATTTTTATATATTCTTTGGATAAATGTCTGTTAAGATCCTTTGCCCATTTTTACATTGATTGTATTTTTATTATTGAGTTATAAGAGTTCTTTATGTATTCTAGATGTAAGTTCCTTATCAGATATATAATTAACAAATATTTTATCCCATTCTGTGGGTTGCCTTTTTATTTCTTGATGGGATCCTTTACAGCACAAAAGTATTTAATTCTCACAAAGTTCAATTTATCTATTTTTAATTTTGTTGCTTGTGCTTTTGATGTGATGTTTAAGAAACCATTGCCTAATTCTAAGTAACTCAGATTTAAGCATGTTTTTCTTCAAGAGTTTTATAGTTTTGGCTCTTACATTTAGGTCTACAATCCATTTTGAGCTAATTTTTGTATATAGTATAAGTGAAGAGTGCAAGTTAATTCTTTTGCATGTGGATATCCAGTTTTTACAGTACCGTTTGTTGAAAGGCTATTCTTTCCTCATTGAATTGTCTTGGCAACCTTGTCAAAAATCTGTTGACTGAAAATGTGAGGATTTATTTCTAGAATCGCAATTCTGTTCCATTGATCTATATGGCTATCCTTACCCCAGTACCTCACTGTCTTGATTACTGTAGATTTGTATAAATTTTGAAAATAGAAAATGTGAGTCCTCCAACTTTGTTCTTTTTCAAGATCGTTTTGGTATTCTTGATCATTTGACTTAGGATCATATGAATCTTAGGATGAATTTGTCAATTTATGCAAAAAAGCCAGCTGGGATTTTGATAGGGATTGCATTGATTCTGAAGATCAATTTGGGGTCTGTTGTCATTTTAACAATATTAAATCTTTTAATCCATGGATATGGGAGCCTTTCCTTTTACTTAAGTCTTTTAAAATTTTTTTCAACAATGTTTTGCAGTTTTTAGCATATAAGTTTTGCACTTCTTTTGTTCATTTTTTTTTATGGGTGTTTTGTTCCTCTGGATGCTACTGTAAATGAAATTATTGTCTGAATTTCATTTTTGGATGGTGTATTGCTAGTATATAGAAATATAATTGATGTTTGTACATTAATTTTTCAACCTTGCCTAACTCCTTTATTAGTTCTAATAATTTTTAATTGTATTTCTTAGGCTTGCATATTGTGCCATCTGCAAATAGTTTTAGTTCTTCCTTTCTAATCTGGATGTCTTTTATTTATTTTTCTTGTCTAATTGTCCTAGATAGGACATAGAAGTAGCAAAAGATGACATACTTGTTTTATTCCTCATTTTAGAGTGAAAGCATTTGTTCTTTCACTAATTAGTGTGATGTTAGCTGTAGGTTTTTTGTACATGCTTTTTATCAGATTGAGGAAGTTCTCTACATTTTCATTTGTTGAGTGCTTTTTAAGATGAATGAGTATTGGATTTTCTGTAATAATTTTTCTGCATCTGTTGAGATAATCGTGTGTTTTTTCCCCTATATTCTATTGATATGGTATATTACATTAAATATTTTTTATGTTAAACCAACCTTGCATAACTGGGATTAATCTACCAAGTTATGGTGTATATCCTTTTTATGTTGCTGGAATTAGTTTGCTAGTATTTTACTGAGGATTTTTGCACCTATATTAATAAGAATTAGTGGTCTTTAGTTTTCTTTTTTTGTGATGTCTTTGTCTGTTTCTAGTATCAGGATAATACTGGCCTCATGGAATGAGTTGGGAAATGTTCCCAACTCTTTTATTTTTTTTGCAGAGTAAGTATATTCTGATTTTTGTTATCCACGTTGCTCTACAGGAAGATTAGGAATATCTTCTTCTTGACAATGTTATGTTTATAAGTTTGAATAAGGAAGACAGTTCAGAGTCAAGAGGGAAAAACTCAGTTAAGAATCATGACTAGAAACTGTTTTTTTCTGGGTATTTTTTTTTTTTTACCAACTTAGTAGAGAATTTTTTGGAGAATACAGAACAGTGGTTGATTGGCTAAGGACATCATGGTACATTCATACTATAATAAGCTCTGCAACCTTGAAGTAGGTTGAAGTACATGTACATATTTTTTTGTGGTAATATTTCCATGATCTGCTGTCGAGTAAAAAAACAGATTGCAGATCTGGTTATATGTTATGTAATATGCATATGCATATATGTTCATATATGCTGTAGAAGAAAAAGAGGAAGTTATGCAATGAACTTAAACTGTTTTTGTCTGGGGAATAAGAATTTTAGGTGAACTAAAAGGTAGTTTATCTTTATTTTCATCTCTGAATATTTACAAATGCAATATTTTGTTATGAAAGTATTTCCATTAAAAATAGTTCTTGGAACACTAAATATCTCGCTGAACAAGATATAGTATCTTTTTTCTTACTTATGTGGATTCTCTATTTCTTTGAAAAGTTATAGCACATTGAATATTAATTCCTGTCTAATATTGCATGTTCCTTTTCATATGTTAGTCTTACCTCCTTTATGATATTATGAGCTTTTTATATCTTTATTTTTTTCCATTGTGTTATTATAAAAGCTTTCAAACATACAGACGAGTTGAAAGAATTATACTGTGGACACTCATGTATGTATGTGTGGGTGTGTACACACGTACACACTCACCACCTACATTTGACAATTATCACTTTGTTGTATTTGTTGTATGTCTATCTATCCATATATCCATATTACTTTTTTGGATGTATTTTGAAATAAGTTGCAAGTGTCAGTACATTTCACCTCTTAACTTCAGTATGCACATCATGAACTAGAGTTCAAGATTTGTTTATAATGCTTTTTTCTTTGAGGTACAATTTACATATAGAGAAATTACAAATTTTACTGTACCATTTGATGAGTTTTGACTAATGTATACACTTGTGTAACCTAAACCTCTATCAAAATATAGACTATTACCTTCACTCAGTAAGTTCCTTCATACTCCTTCCCAATCAGTTCTCTTCAAGTCAACCACCATTCTGATTTTTTTCACCATAGATTAGTTTTGCTTATTCAGAATTTATGTGTGATTATACTATATGCACTCTTTTGTATGTTCTTTTACTTAGCATAATGTTTTTGAGAATCATCCATGTTGTTCCATTTATCAGTAGTTTTATCTTTTTATTGTTGAGTAGTGTTGTATTTTATGAGTATACCACAGTTTTTTTTGATTCTCTTCTTATTGGACACTTGGGCTGTTTCTAGATTGTTAAATATAAATCTATTAGGGGCATACTTATACAAGTTATGTAGGCTCTTAATTTTCTTGGGTACATACATAAAGTGGAATTTCTCGGTATTAGGACGGGTATATGTTTAGTTTATAAGAAACTGCAAGGCGTTTTTCCAAAGTGTCTGTGTCATTTTGTACTCCTACCAACAACATTTGGTAGTTGTTTCTTTTTTTTAATTAACAAAAAATATTTTAGTAATTCTGGCGGTTGAATAGTGGTATCTTGTGATTGTAATTTTATTTCCCTTGTGACTTTTTTTACTATTTGCTTTCTTTCAGACAGTTCGGCATGGTTTTCCTTATCAGCCCACAGCATTAGCCTTTGATCCAGTTCAGAAAATCTTGGCTATTGGGACGAGAACAGGGGCTATACGAATGTATCCTTAATTTTTGGTTCATTACTTGCTATCTTAATACCAATTTTATTTCCTTAAATATTCAGGTAAGTGAAATATTTATGACCAAATTAAGTTTATTTTTCTTTAAAAATGAATAATGATTGTGAAAACTCACATTGTCAAATTTATTGGCATATTTTCAATGTCTGTGAGATAAGTCCCTTCTTTAATTCCTGGTATTGGTAATTTGTGTTTTCTCTTTTTTCCTGATCAGTATGGCTAGAAGCTTATCAATTGTATTAACTTTCAAAAGAACCAACTTTGGTTTCATTGCTTTTCTGTATTGTTTTCCTATATTCTATTTCATTGATTTCTGCTTTGATTTTTTTTTAATTTCCTTTTCTTGCTTCACTTTGGGTTTAATTTGATCTTCTTTTTCTAGTTTCTTAAGGTAGAAACTGAGGTCATTGATTTGAAAACTTTCTTCTTTTCTAATATATTCCTGTAGTGATGTGAATTTCCTCCTGAGTTCTGCTTTAGTGTCATCCCATTTTTTTTTATATTAACCTTTTTATTTTGAGATCTTTGTAGATTTAATTGTGGTAGTAAGAAATAATATAGAGAAATTCCATGTATTCTTCACCCAATTTCCCCCAATAGTAACATCTTATAAAACTATAGTGTAATATGACAACCAGGATATTGACATTGATACATTTCAGAGCATTTCTATCACCACAAGGATTTTTCATGTTCCCCTTTTACAGCGACACCTGTCAGTCCAATTTCCCCACTCCCACCCCTGACTCCTGACAATCACTAGTTTGTTCTTTATTTCAATAATTTTTCCAATTTAAGAGTGTTATATAAATGGAGTCATACAGTACGTAACATTTTGGGATTGGCTTTTTTCACTCAGCATAATTCTCTGAAGATTCATCCAAATTGCTGTATGTATCAATACTTCATTTTTTTATTGTTGAGTAATATTTCATGATATGGATGTACCATAGTTTGTTTAGCTGTTCACTTATTAAAGCACATCTGGCTTCCCAGTTTTTGGCTGTTATAATTAAAGCAACTATGAGCATTTGTGCACATGTTTCTGTGTGAACATAAGTATTCATTTCTCTGGTTTAAATGCCCAGGAGTGCAGTTAGGAGTTGTATGGTAGTTGCATGTTTATTTTTATATGAAGATGCCAAACTATTTTCCAGGTTGTAACATTTTAAATTCCCACCAGCCATATATGAGTAATCCTATATCCCCACATCATTACCAGCATTTTGTGTTTTAAAATTTTTAAATTTTAGCTATTGTGATAATTTTGTAGTGATATCTCATTGTGGTGTTCTTATATATTCTAAATAATAGTCCTGTGTTATATATATGGTTTGTAATTATTTTTTTGTGGTCTTTAACTTGTCTTTTCAACCTCTTAACAAGATATTTCAGAGTCCAGTTCATCAATTTTTCCTTTCTAGATTGTGCTTTTAGTATCATGACTCTTAAAACGCTTTGCCTAACCCTAGCTCGTAATTATTTTTTTTCTAAAAATTTTATAGTTCTACATTTTATATTTAAGCACAGTTCCATTTTGAGTTCATTTTTTATTTGTATTGTCTTTGTCTGGTTTTGGTATTGGGGTAATACTAGCTGCATAAAATGAATTGAGAAGTGTTCCTTCTTCTGTTTTCTGGTAGGGATTGTATAAAATTGGTGTTAATTCTTTCAGTGTTTGATAGAATTCTCTAGTGAAAGTACCTGGGACTGGAGATTATTTCAAGAGAGATCTTATATTACAAATTCAATTTATTTAATAGTGGTAGGACTATTTTGGTTTTCTATTTGATCTTAGTTGAGTTTTGATAGTTTTTAGTCAGTCTTACTAGCGGTTTATACATTTTATTGATTTTTTTTGGAGAACAAGTATTTTGTCTAATTGATTTTCTCCATTTTCTTGTTTTCAGTTTTTTTCTGACATCTTTTTTTTAATGAGATACAATTGGCATAAAATATTACATTAGTTTCAAGGTAATTTATCTTTATTATTTCTTTCCTTCACTTTTTTTTTTAGCTTATTCTGCTCCTTTTTTCTAGTTTCTTGAATTAAAAACTTAGATTATTGATTTGATACCCTTTCTCCTTTCTAATGTATGCATTTAATGTTATTAATTCTCCTTTCAGCACTGCATTAAATGGATCCCCAAAATTTTGATATGTATGTTTTCATTTTCATTTAGTTTTATGTTATTTTAAAATTGCATTTGAGACTTATTCTTTGGACCATGAATGACTTAGTAGTGTTTTAATTAATAGGCAAGTGTTTGAAAATTTTCTTCTTGTCTTTCTGTTATTGATTTCTAGTTTGATTCCACTGTGGTGAGAAAACACATTCTGTATGATTTCAATTCTTTTATTTTTATTTATTTATTTATTTATTTTAAAGATTGGCACCTGGGCTAACAACTGTTGCCAATCTTTTTTTTTGTTTTCTACTTTATCTCCTCAAACCGCCCCCACCCCCCGTACACAGTTGTATATCTTAGTTGCACGTCCTTCTAGTTGTGGGCTGTGGGACACCGCCTCAACGTGGCCTGACGACTGGTGCTGTGTCCGCGCCCAGGATCCGAACCCTGGGCCGCCGCAGCGGAGCACACGAACTTAACCACTCGGCCACGGAGCCGGCCCCCAATTCTTTTAAATTTGTTAAGTTTGTACTGTGGCCTAGGATATGGTCTGTCTTGGTGAATGCCCTATGGATCAGGAAAAACATGTGCATTCTTTTCTTGTTGAGTGGAATATTCTATATTTGTCAACTAGATATTATTCGTTGATTTGGTTCTTAAGTTCTATATGCTTGCTAATTTTCTGTTTGATAATTCTAAGTTTGAATATATTTATCTTTCTTTCCAGCTCTATTAGTTTTTACTTTCTATATTTTGAGGCCATGTGGTTTGGTGTGTACACATTTCTGTATATCTTCCAGTGGATGGATCTATTTATTATTATGTAATGTGTTTATTTGTCTCCAGTAATTTTTTTATTTTTTTGAGGAAGATTAGCCCTGAGCTAACTATTGCCAATCCTCCTCTTTTTGCTGAGGAAGACTGGCCCTGAGCTAACATCCATGCTCATCTTCCTCTACTTTATATGTGGGGTGCCTACCACAGCACAGCTTTTGCCAAGTGGTGCCATGTCCGCACCCGGGATCTGAACTGGTGAACCCCAGACCCCTGAGAAGCAGAACATGTGAACTTAACCGCTGCGCCACCGGGCCGGCCCCTCCAGTAATTTTTTTTGCTCTGAAATCTGCTTTATCTGATATTAATAGAGCCACTCCTGCTTTTTAAAAAGAATAATGTTTGCATGGTATATCTATTTCCATCCTTTTGTTTTAAACTTAACTATGTCGTGTTTGAAGTGAGTTTATTGTAGACAGCATATTGTTGGATCATTTTCTTTCTTTCCTTTCTTATTGAGATATAATCAACATATAACCATATATTAGTTTCAGGTATACAACATAATGATTCAATATTTGTATATATTGTGAAATGTTCAATAAGTCTAGTTAACATACATCATCATGCATAGTTACAAAAATTTTTTCTTGTGATGAGCTTTTAAGATTTATTCTCTTAGCATCTTTCAAATTATAGCCCAGTGTTATTAACTATAGTGACCATGCTGTACATCACATCCTCAGGTCTTATTTATTTTGTAACTGGAAGCTTGTACCGTTTGACCACTTTCTCTAATTTTACCCACCCAGCACTTCCTGCATCCACCTGTCCTCTGTATCTATTATTTCAGTGTTTTGTTTATTTTTTTTTTAGATTCTACATATAAGTGAGATCAGACAATATTTGTCTTTCTCTGACTTATTTCACTTAGCACAGTGCCTTCAGTGTCCATCTATTTTGTCACAAATGGCAAGATTTCCTTCTTTTTATGGCTGAATAATATTCCATTGTGTGTATATATGTGTATAACACATTTTATTTATCCATTCATTCATCAATGGTCACTTAGGTTGTGTCCATATCTTGGCTATTGTAAGTAATGCTGCAATGAACATGGGAGTGCAGGTATATTTTTGAATTAGTGTTTTCTTTGGATATGTCCCCAGAAGTGGAATTTTTGGATTGTATGGTGGTTCTGGTTTTAATTTTTTGAGGAATCTCCACACTGTTTTCCATAATGGCCCTGCCAAATTACATTCCCACCAACAGGGCACAAGGGTTCACTTTTTTCCACATCCTCACCAACACTTGTTATTTCTCGTCTTCTTGATGAATAGCCATTCTAACAGGTATGAGGTGATATCTCATTGTGATTTTGATTTGCATTTCCCTAATGACTAGTGATGTTGAGCATCTTTTCATGTACCTGTTGGCTATCTGTATATCTTCTTTGGAAAGATGTCTATTCAGATCCTCTGCCCATTTGTTAATTGGATTGTTTGTTTTCTTGCAAATATATAAGGAATATGAGTTCTTTATATATTTTGGATATTAACCCCTTATCAAATAGATGGTTTGTAAATATTTTCTCCCATTCAGTGGGTTGCCTTTTCATTTTGTTGATGATTTCCTTTGCTGTACAGAAGCTTTTTAGTTTGATGTAGTCTCACTTGTTGATTTTTACTTTTGGTATCAAATCTAAAAAATCATCACCAAGACTGATGTCTGTGAGCTTATTGCCTATGTTTTCTTCTAGTAGGTTTATGGTTTCAGGTCTTACGTTCAAGCCTTTAATCCATTTTGAGTTAATTTTTGTATCGGCTGTAAGATAGTGGTCCAGTTTTATTCTTTTGCATGTGGCTGTGCAATTTTTCCAGCACCATTTATTGAAGAGACTAACTTTTCCCCATTGAGCATTCTTAGCTCCCTTATCAAATATTAGTTGACCATATATACCTTAGTTTATTTCTGGGTTCTTGATTCTGTTCCATTGATTTGTGTCTTTTTTTCTGCCAATACCATACTATTTTGATTACTACAGCTTTGTAATTTGGTTGGAAACCAGGAAGTGTG